ACCATAGCACTGTATCATGCTCGGGCGCAAAGTAAAGGAAGGAAAATACCCTACCCAAGCGTATTTCCCTTCCTTCCTTCCTTCCTTCCTCCATTGCGGTCGGTAACTTAGAAGGGGGAGGAAGAAGAAAATACAGGAAAAGCAGGAACTCTTCCCCGGCGTCGGATAGATCCCGGGCTAGGTCGGGTCAGCCAACCAATCGCGCGGATTTGACTTTTTTTTCTTCTTTTCTTTTTCTTTTTCTTTTTATATTTATATTCGTTTGGGACTAACTCCATTTCCAATAGCAACGTCGACACCCCACTTGTCAATGCGTATCCTGTCACTTGACAGTCGCCGGGGGAGGACGGATGATCGGGGCTTTGATTGACTTGCGGGGTAGCTGATAAGTGACGGTGTCGTGTGTGAGAGATCGTACACCGGTGGGGTGGGGAGGAAGGTGCAAGCAGTGAGGAAGGAAGGAAGGAAGGAAGGAAGGAAGGAAGGAAGGAAGGGGGAGGGGGGAGGGAATTGGTGCGGTATCTTCAGTGCGGCGGCTTAAGATATGGTGGGACCGGTGAGGCAGTTGGATCCTTTTCACTTCCAAGCCCGCCACTTGTGCCATGGTCTCTTCCCCTTCCTACCTGCCGTACTCCCTCCTTCCCCACGATCTAAAGTTACACACTCCTTACATCCCTCGAGCACAGCGCAGCGGAGTCCGGTAATATTACCTCACACGACGCCCTTCCCTTTCTTGCCACATCACTCCCTCCGTCCGCAACCACCTTACGGCGATTCTTGATGAACGCACTCACGCTCCAAAGATCGCCATGTCGTTCATACCCTCGCGCGGACACTTCACCTCGGAGGACACCTCGACAAGTATTAGTGGGAGCATCATCACGTCGATGTTAAAAGTCCTACAGGATCCTGCATCGCTGCTTTCCTCCGTATTTGTACTGGATGAGCACACTAAACGGCATCAGCTTGCTAGCGCTAAACTGAGAAATGTTAGTCCCCCTGCCCGCATTCAACAATTCTACGATACGGTTCAGTGACCGATCATGGATAGGCAACGACGTACGCCGACTGGCATAAGGCTGCGCAAGAACTCGACGTTCTGGAGGGCAATGAAGCATGGAAGTCCGACGTCGGGTCACCGGATTATGATCACGCCCTCGTAGCCGCACGTCTGAAGCAGCTCGATGAAGCACGGATATCATGCGACGTTAACAGGATGTTGTTCCTCATCCGCACGACGCTCTCGCGGAATCTGGGGGATATGGGGAATATCCGTGTAAAAGCCCCTCCTACCCCTCTTCCTCCTGCTTTCCCCCGCCTGAGGGTATTAACCGGTGTGATTCCTTGCCAAATAAAAAATAGTTGTACAAACACTCCCACACCGGCACAAAGCGGTTAATAGAAGAATACATCAACTCCTGCGTGCTAACGCTAAACGCGCTGCTGACAGTCCCCCCGGCACTCGGCGCGCCCTCGAGCCGTGAGATCTTGGACTCGCTGCTAAGGACCCGCCAGTCCTTCGGCCGCACAGCACTCCTCCTTTCCGGTGGCGCAACGTTTGGCATGAACCATGTAGGCGTGCTCAAAGCACTGCTGGAGCAATCCCTCCTGCCTAGGATCATATCCGGAGCTTCGGCGGGGTCGATAGTAGCGGCGGTATTGTGTACGCGCACGGATGACGAGATACCCACCATATTAGAAGAATTCCCGTACGGGAATCTGGACGTCTTCGAGGACGGGAAGAAGCCGGAGAGTGTACTTCAACGGGTGACGAGGTTCTTGAAGATCGGCGCCTGGATCGACATCAAGTACCTCACACGAGTGATGCGGGAGTTATTGGGGGATATTACCTTTCAAGAAGCGTACAATCGTACCAGAAGGATATTGAATATTTGCGTTAGCAGTGCCAGGTATTTTTTTTTCTCACCCTCGCTCACTCGTCCTTGCAAAATCGAATTACCAACGCAGCGCAAAGTATATACGAGCTCCCCCGCCTGCTGAACTACGTCTCAGCCCCAAACGTCCTAATTTGGTCCGCCGTGGCGGCGTCTTGCTCTGTGCCCTTCCTCTTCACCTCCACCTCGCTTTTAGCAAAGGACCCACAAACCGGCCTCCCAACACCCTGGGACCCATCCCCGCAACGTTGGATAGATGGCAGCGTGGATAACGACCTCCCCATGTCACGGCTCTCGGAAATGTTCAATGTGAACCACTTCATCGTGAGCCAAGTAAACCCGCACGTGGTGCCCTTCTTGACTAAAGACCCGCCTTCCTCCCCCTCCCCCTCTTTCATCACTGCACCTACACCAGAGTCAACCTCAACCTGGGGGACAAAAATCCTAGCGCTAGCGCACACCGAGACCCTCCACCGCCTAAACATCCTCTCAGAGCTCGGCATCTTCCCCACGTCAATGACCAAGCTGCGTGCCGTGCTGAGCCAAAAATACTCGGGCGACATCAATATATTCCCGGAGACGCCATATGCCGACCTGCCGCGCATGCTGAAGAACCCGACGACGGAGTTTGTGCGCACGGCCATGAAGCGCGGTGAGCGCGCGACGTGGCCGCGTCTGACGCGGGTGCGAAATCACGTCCTTGTCGAGCTGGAGCTGGATCGCGTGATTCATGTTTTGCGAGCAAGGGTGGTGTTCGAACCGGGCAGGGGTGATGGGGTGGGAGCGGCGGTGGGAGTGGGAGCGGGCTGTGGTTCGGGGCGGACTGGGGGAATATGCGTGATGAGGTCCCCGAGGGGATTCGGCGCAGCTGGGGCGGCGGTGTGCACACCCTTTAGCGCTGGAGGCGTGAGCGCCAGGCTGGGGAGCGCAAACGGTAATGGTGGTGGGGGGAAGACACCGAGACGAAGACACCAAACCACCGGCCCAGAAGACGTTCACCCGAGACCCACAAACCAACACCAATCACTCCTCCCCCCCCATCAGCCTTCCCATCACCACCGCCACCACCACCACCGAAGGTCGAGGACGGCCACAGCCACAACCCCGACCACTGCCTCCTGTCCCAATACAGTAGGGGACTACTTCACCCTCCAACCCGACCACTTCACACCTAGCACTTCAGACGAGGAGGAGGTAGGGGGAGTAGAACCCGTCGCGAATTCCGCAAGAAAGAGATTTTCTGGCTGGAATGCACTGGTGATTTCGGTGCCAACTGCTACTAGCAATAATGATGGCGGGCGCGCCTTGAGCTCTAGACGTGGGAGGGAGTTGGTCCGCATGACAAGGGTCGCCGGGGAGTTTGATGGTGGTGGCGGTGGTGGTGGGGTTAAAGTTGGTATCGGAAGAGCAAAGAGTGCGGAGGAGTTGAGGGGGCTTAGGGGGTGATGAAGGTGAAGGGAAGGTTTATTGTATCATACAGGGTTATGCATTGTATTATGATATAGTATGGGGTACGGGAGAGTTTTATGCGGAAAGTACGATATAAGCGCTTATGCGGGGCTTGCATTTTTTGCATAGCGTGGTATGGGGCAAGTAAATCACGGTATGATGCATGTACAAGATGTATATCACATTGTGGGGGGCATACACGCCGTGAATTGAGTACGTGACATGCACTATCCATATTCCCATATCGAGCATCAGCGAGAGTTAGACTTCGTATCGCGCATCATACCCGAACAGACCACCCAACTCCCACCAACCAACCAACCAACCATAGACCCCGCCGTACCCACGCAAGGAATAAATGGAAAAAAAAATGAATGGAAAAAATAAAAAAGGGAAAAGAGAACACTCAAGCCAAACACTCATCCCTAGAAAACCCCATTCCAAAGCCCATACTGATCCCCACCCCCAAGCCTGCCGCAAGACCTGCTCCCCCATCACCGCCACCGCCACCATTGTTAAACCCCATAACCCCCCCATCGGCAAACGGGTCGTAAAAGCCGACAGGGTCCCAGACGTCTAGCATGAAATGCTCAGCGAATTCTCCCCATTCCGCATCCCCTTCCCATCCCGGTACTACGCTGGTGGGCCCTTCAGCGGTTATAGCCGGTGGGGTGCCAACGGTCGTACCAGTCGTGATCGGCACGCCGACTCCAGAGACTGGGGCTTGTATTTGCTCTGGGTGTTCTTGCTGCTGCTGTTCTTGCTGTTGGTGTTGACAATCTTGCTGCTGCTGCTGCTGCTGCTGCTGTTGTTGTTGTTGTTGGAACATCTGCTGCTGTTGTTGGAGTGTCTGCTGTCTTTCGGCCGCTGGCACAGTGCTCTCGCTACCGCCTTCACGGAGACTCGACAGGGCGAGTGCGCACTCGACTTTTCCTCTTCTCCCAACGGCTTCTTTGCCTAGGGCTGCCATTGCACCGGCAAACCACCACCACCTCGATAAGGATTCTAGAATCTTTAGCGTCTCCTTGTATGCCTTCTGGTATGTTTTTTCGCCTTCCCGGACGAGGGCGTGGAAGGTTGTTAGGGAGAGTGAAGCGGCATAAGGTGTTATCGAGGTTGGCGGGAGGAGATGCGTGGGGGAAGGGTTTGAGAGGATTTCATAGATTGCTTTCGCGGAGGCTGTACGGCGGCCGTGGGAGGGGGAGTTTGTGCTTGAAGTTGGCGTTCTGTGGGAGAGGATTGAGATTGCGTGGTAGAAGAGGGATAAGGTTGCTTTTCCGCGCTCGTTGGTTAGTTTCGGGTGCTGGTGAGGGGGGTATAGGGCGGGAAGTACCTTGTAACCCTGGGTCATCACAACTTATCTCCCCCACGACCTGTTCGAAGGAGGGAAAGTGTTCCTCCCATTGGAAAACCCCGCCTTCTTTCCTAGGTCTGTAGAGCGCGATAACCTTTTCTAATAGCTCTGCCAACCTAACCATCCCGTGGAAGACGCTAGTCCCCTCATGCTCCCTTGGAAAATCGATTGACGTATCCTCCCCACGCACCAGCACCGGGCGTCCGTTTATCGCCGCCTGCAATTTATCTAGCTCCCAAAGACACCACCAGAGCTCCGTCTCACCCTTCCCACCACTCCGATTCCTTTTGAGATGCAAGCCGGCGGAATGCGCATGGTGTATAGCGGTGCACAAATTCATACTTGCAACTTCATTCCCGCCCGGGCCATCAGCCGAGTGCAGCGATAGCAACCCATACACGCGTATGAGCCGTATGCGGTCCTTCTCACTCCCAGCATGCAGCAGTGCCGTTATCCGGGTGTACAGGATCGAGGCGAATTTCCGGGGCGGGAGCGGGGCATTCGTGGGCGGGAGGAATAGATGCTCGGCGGCATTCGGGTGGCGGGAGGCGACGAGCAGGATGCTTTGCAGCAAGACGTGGGGGATTTCGTCGGGGGTCTTGAAGAGGTTTATCGTGTGCGTGTCCACGAGGGGGTAGATCGGGTGCACTGATTCCACGTATAGCGATAGCAGAGCGTCCAGGCTCGACCGCGGGGGTAGCGAGAAGGCGTTGAGGGATTCGAGGAGGTTGTTGTAATGCGTAGCCAATGTAGGCTCAGGGCTCGCAGAGCGTCGAGTAGTATTCGTGGGGTCTGGGCTCCTGCGGCGTTTTCGCGGGCGGGAAACGGCTTGCGGCTGCAGCACCCAGACACCTATTTCATTGCGGGATGGGGCTGACGAGGACGAAGGTCCGGATGGGTTAGATGTTGCCGCCAGCAGTGCTGCCTCCGGGTTTAGATCTCCTATAAAGCGGGCCTGCCCATCCGGGGAGTCAGAGGACACAGCGAGTTTATCCGCGAATCCCTCACTCTCGACCTCTGCTGCGCTCACCGAAGAGCCTGCGATGGCGGAGCTACCGCCCTGTGATGATGGTTCCACCACAACCAGGCTGGGTAGGAAAGGGAAAGAAAGGGAAAACGTCAGTCTAGGGATTCTCTAGAGATTAGGTAGAAATCGGAACCGTACGGACCTGCAACGTAATCCATCTCTCGTACATCCCGCACATCTCTCATGGTTCTCAAAGGGGGGTAGACATCTCTTCTATCGAAGAAGTTAACAACCGTTATCGAGATGGTGGGCGGCATCGCAGTGGCGAGGTTCTCCACGGTCCCCGCCCCCACCTCCAACCGGGAATAGGTAACCGGAATTTTTTTTTTTTTTAAAAAAAAAAACGAAGAGAGAGGAGGGGGAAAGAAAGAAAGAAGAAGAAAAACCAAAGACCTTACCCTTCTCCTCTTACATTGATCGCAGGCACGATGAGCACGCTTCCTACCCCGGTACGAACTATTGTTGGCAGCGAACACCTGTACTGGTACAACAACGTTCATCTTTTTGTCAGGTTAAATTCGGTGGGGTGGTCCTCTTTTTTTCTTTTTTTCCTTCTCCTTTCCTTCTGTGATCCGTGAGGAAAAATAGATAAAAAGTTGCTCGAGGAGGGTTTTTTCTCTGGAGGAAAGAGGAGAGAGTTTGCTTGTTTCGGGGAGCAGGGATATCGGGTGGGATTCTGCTCTCGGAAGGGTAACTACGGATATGGGGATGCTCTGGTAGAAGCGGCAGGAAGTCTACCGGCAAGTTGAGTGAATTTGGGTATGATACGATCTGTACGGATTCTGCGGTGCACAGTAGGAGTGGATCCGTCAGAACACGGCGAGCAAGTGGAAATCCGAATTGGCGGCCAGTATGATATTAATATAAAATTAGGGAGAGAGAGGGGAGATTCGTGGTGGACAGCCTCGATAGTCTGCTGTGGCCCGGGCCGGCAGACCGGATTTACACGTTCTCCAAGATTTTGACAAAGTTCGCATACGGTACCGCCCAAGGCGATTCACTGGCCCAGCATTACCGTGCACGCTATCATACCCCTACAGCATCGTTGAGCACTGGGGCGAGCACTTTAATGTTGCGTCTTCTCCCCTCCTCGTGGAGCAAGCCGGGCAGCCTCCCCCATCATCATCACCACCACCACCACTAGAACTCACCCCCACCATTGTCGAGGGAAAAAAAGTGCACAAAAACACCGACGCTATGCGGGAATCTTTTCTCAAGGCTTCGCGTGGATTCATCGAATAACCTAATCTCATTCAGCCCCGGGGGTCGGTGGGCATCATACCGGCAACCCGAGTGGATCAGTGTTAATCCAAGCCAGTACTGTACAGTACCCTACGTGTCCAGAAGAGAAGCCCACCACCACCAACCGCTCACTGCTCGTGCAACCCAGCGTTTCCTGACAGATAAATAGTCGAGCCGAATTGGCTTCCCACGCTTGCGAGCAAGACAGCCGGCATCAAATGGGTGGGAAATGTTGTCTTAGACCAACAGTATTCCCGATCCCTTGGGCCTTGGGGTGTCACGACGCTATTGTACCGTACTAGTGCTGGATCTCGAGTGCTCGTACCGCAAGTGACGCCTTGTTCCAGATCCATGCCCCCATCTTTCCACGATACAAGTACTCGAGTACAAGAATCTCGTTCTTGCCAAGTTCGGGTCAAGTCATTCTACCGGTATTCCGACATCTAACAGAGAAAGGACCCCGCAATGCGTGCATTTTTCTTTTCCTTTCTTTCCTTTCTTTTTCCCCTGTTCTACCTCTTGGGGAAGTTGGCCCGAGAGAGCGAACGAGCGAGCACTCTGTGGAGCAGTGCTATGATATATCATACTCGTGCTCCTGCAGTGCCGGCGCGTGCCGCTATACTCGAGTACCGTACGGTATTGGAAGGCAAGGAGCCTTCCCAGTTGCATCGGCTTGGTCGGCCCATGCCGGCAGCCTCCGAGGCTGACAGACAGCCGTGCGGGCGAACGCGATCCAAGGAACGCCGTACCTCACCGTTGCGGGCATGATAGGCGGCGGGTGGATAGTATCATATCTCCTCCCTCGACATTCTACGTATCATAGACCCGATAGCACTGCACCAATATTCAAACATCACGCGCACCCCACACATCATACACACTCATACTCATACTCATACTCGTACATGAATTTACACACATACACGCACACACGCACACGCACACGCACACGCACATATACACACGCACACATATCTTGTATCATGCCGCTATGATATTTGAGCCCAGCAAGTCCTTCATTACTTAATATACCGTACCGATTTCAGTGTGCCACACTATTGGCTTTTTTACAGTTTTCTTTTTTTTTTCTTTTTTCTCCGCGGATTGCTCTGCTCTTATGATAAGCGTCCCGGTTGTGATAGACCCCTAGGGGGCCGGGAAGGGAGAAGAGGAAAAATGCTGAGGCTTAGTTTTGGAAGTCAAGAGTTGGTGCTGGTATCATCGGATCTCAAGCTTGACCTTCAGCCGGCTCGAAGCCCCGACTTATTTTTTGCGACCCCCTTGCATCATCACCAGCCCAGCAATCTCATCAGCTCGAGCCCTAGCAATCTCATCATCCCCAGCCCCAGAAATCTCACCACCGTGGCCGGGAGTGGGCGGTAGATGTTGACGTCTGACTTTCAGGGCCATCTGATAGTCTGAAGACAAGATCGGGCCACACCTTTTCAATGAATTGTTAGAGCGAGGTCGATGTCGGTCCCCAAAACAAGAGATGGCTGTAATTTAAGAGTCCTGTTTCTTACAGCTGAGTTGGCGCTCAGGCGGCGTTTTCCACCGCGCACTATCGTAGATAGATGATCTAGGATGCCAGGTTGAATGAACAAATCCTCTGGGAGGGGTGGGTATCCTTGTGTCTATATGGTGCTATACACGGGGTTTCAGCCTTGCCGTACGAGTAGCTTCTTTGATCACGGTGGTAGCCCCGAATAAGGGCCCTTTCCAGAGCCTGCTCTGCCCGAACCTGTCTCCCGTACGGTAGCTCGAATGCTGTGGCCTGGGATTCTAGTTAACGAAAACTCAATCCACTGGCACTGGCACAGAACACCGGCCGTGGGGATCTCTCATAGTTTGATTATCCGAGATCTCATGCATTCCTTGACCACCTCACTTGGGTATCGGGCTCAGGGATGCGTCCAATGGTTTTGGTTTTGGTTAGCAACTTTCAAAGGAAACGAGTATGAGCATAATATAGCCTTTCACACCGAACTTTGGAAACAATGTATCTTGTTAACCGCCGCGTGAGCTCTTGTAGGCAAAAGGAGTGCCTTATGTACCCGTTGATTTGTCTTCTGCTGTGAGGAGAGAGTTATGACACAGTCAGGACGCAATGCACATCAGTCGGGGCAAACGGGCTGTGCTTTGCCTGAAAATCCCCTAATATAGAATTAGATACCGGCCCGTATGGGGGTAGAGATACTGAAGAGCCCGCCATTAGACTTCCGCAACTTCGATTTATTCCGGATTCCCTTCAAGGTTCACCTGGGGTTTTGTAATGACCACCGCCGCCATTATGTTCACCCCACCCCTAGGGTTCGAATATCACCCGCTGGCATCCGAGGAACCGTTGGAAGGGTCGGTCCCTACAACAGCAATCCCGATTCCCAGTATTTCCATCTACCTCGCCAGCAGTTATACTCGTTATAGATGAAACAGGGGTGAATGGCATACTAACAATTTTGTGCAAAATCATCAGTGGTCACTCGTGTATGTCATTGATGTTCAAAACGGGGTTTAATATCAGTTTTTGACACCGATGCTCCATACTCTTCCACAGGCTCCTCGCGTTTAAATGTCGTTAATACCAAATATGCCATCAATCCAAATGGCATCATACTAGTATCGTCTCCTGTTCCTGCAGGTTGCCGCCCAAGATCGATGCCAACCATAACTGGGCGCGCTTGGTGATCCATGCTGATTGGCCAGTAATTGGCAATGTCAAAAGGACCCTGCAGCTAGCGAAATCTGCCACAACACGAGGTGGTGAGTTCCTTTTTCGGCCAACCTGAAAATGTTAATGCTTGGCATGGGCACTTTTGACGAACTACGCACCTCAAGATGATATAAGCTTAGATGTCTACGCCCGCTTTGTAAGTTTGATCGCCGCAAGAAAGGTCGACCTCTGGGCCACGAACGAACCTAACTGTATCGAAATCGCAAACCGACCGCTACGGTACCTCACTTGCACCAAAGTCCTGAGAGCAGAGGATGGCTTCTTCAACATCTTCGTCATCGAAGCCGTCGAAAATGACAAAGTCGTGGGAAGAGAATTACAAAATGAGAGAGATTACTCCGGCCGAGTGGGAGGAGCGCCGTGAAATGTTCACACGACTCTATTTTAATGATGACCGTCGTTTGGATGATGTCAGAAGGATTATGGCCACTGAGCATGGCTTTTACGCGAAGTATGTGATCCACTTCCGGCGCTCTGGCACGCTGCTGAAGATTGCACGCATCTAACTTTCTGGTGCTTAGCGATACACAATGCAAAAAAAAGATAAAAAAGTGGGAACTTGGGAAGAGCCTCAACAGAGGAGCTGCATGTGCGATGCTTAGGATTCAGAAACGAAGGTATGCGGAGGGGAAGGAGACGGCATTCACGTATAAGGGGCATAAAGTCAGCCAAGAAAAACTCGAGCGCTCACGTAGGAGGCTCAAAGACTGGGACAAAGAGGACGAGACAAACCCAGGTATGTATATGATATTTCCTCAAAGTATTCTCCCAAAGCTTTGCTAAACCTGGGAATAGAAACCCCGATGTGGGTAGATTATTCCACTCCCAAAAGTAGCGCAGACGACCCGCCCGAGGAAGATTCCCAATCAATAAGCCCCGGTTCCGGCTTTAGCGATTCAGGAGGTGGAGACACTGCCCCATGTGTTGTATCTTCTCCCGGGACCATCTCCGAGTCAGGGACTATCGAAAACCAAATGCAGCCTTTTGGGGTACCGATGGATCCCAATCTAGACCCTGACCTAGACCCTTTTCTACAACCGGAAAGCAGTAGATTTAGCTTCAGTGAACCCCTTCAAGAACCCCTTCAACGCGGATATCCACGCCCAGTGATCTCCGGCGAAAGCTCCAGCAGCCTGATGGGTTTGAGTGATATCCATCAGGTTGCGCCAGGCTACTCATACGAATTCGATGGAGTCCCACAAATGGTTTTCCCCAACGACCAGGGATCTTACTCCCTAGATCCTAAAGCGATAACCTCACTCTTGTCAGCCTCCTTAATATACCTGGATAAGGGATTGCTGAAAGTTGCCGAGGATCTCCAACGCCTTGCCCTTGACAGTGTGAAAGAGAAGAATGGAGAAAGACATCCCGATACTTTGGCTTCTATGCAAACTCTAGGATTTCTCTGCAGGGATCAAGGGAGATATAAAGAAGCCGAGGAGATTCTCCACAGAAATTTAGCTCTATCGACCGGAATATGTGAACTCCACCATTACTGGATGAAGCCAACACAGGGGTTGGGGGTGATATATATCCACCAGGGTCGACTGAAAGAGGCGGAGGAGTACATCTCACGAGTGGCAAAAGCCAGCAAGGAGTACTTTGGGCCAACCCACCCCGAGACTTTGTCAGCAATCCACAGTCTTGCAACAGTATACATGGAGATGGGGAAATGCAAGGAGGCAGAGCGGCTTCTCGCCGGTGAAGGTGGCGTTCTTCAGATGAGCAGGAATCGGTCGGGGGACCAGCACCCCGAGACCGTAGCAACCATGCGGACGCTGGCAACAGCATACCTCAACCAGGGCTATCTGAAGAAGGCAGAGCAGATGCTCCAGCTCGTCCTTAGGAAAAGCGAGCAGTTCCTCGGGCGGAGACATCGGCAAACCATTTCATCGATGCATTGCCTTGGAGTCGCATATCTCGATCTAAAGAGATGGAAAGAAGCCGAGCAGATGCTCACACAGGTCCTCGAGCTGAGCAAACAATATCTCGGGGATGAGCACCGCCACACATTGACCGCGATGCACAACCTTGGCGTCACCTATTTAGACCAAGGAAAGTTGGACCTTGCGGAAACGCAATTCATCGATGTAGTGCAACTCAGCAGCAGGCATATGGGCGAGAGCCACCCCGATACCCTGTCCTCCAGAAACAAACTTGCGAAGACCTATCTCAAACTTGGGCGGTGGAGCGATGCGGAGATCATCTCTCAAGAAGTTGTGAGCAGGTCGAAGGATGTTCTGGGAGAAACTCATCCCGAGGTATTTCAGTATGCTGCGCTTCTTGTGAACATCAATCAGGAAAGGGATCGTGCAACATAACTCCAGGACGAAATATTGTCTATTGGCGGGGGGGCTTGCAAGGCCTTTCCTTGTTCGTTTGTTTGCTCATGTATTTAGCATCATCGGGAGTTTTGGTAACTGGAAAAGTTTGTTCGTGAGTCTGGCATTGCCGGATGTTTTAACTGTACGATTAGGCGGATCATGGGCTCGGCGAGGGAGAGAGGTGGGGGGAGGGGTTACCGATACTTGGAAGTGCTTCCCGTGTGGTTTGATATCGTATCATAATATTATTATGATGGAGAATTGGGGACGGGCCTCCCCAGGGATATAAGCTACCCCTGGGGGCTTTAATAACACCGGCACCAGTACGGTATACCGGTAATCACCAGCGCAGTGGCGCGCCCGTAGAAAGGGACCGATCACTGGCTGACATCAGCAAATGCCCTCTCCTTTCAAAAATGATTTCTCGCGCGCGAATCACATCGAGTCATCCATTCTCCAGGGATCCCAATCATCTCATTGTGCCATTGGTAACCGCCGTGGCGGGATTTCGATGCGCAGCATGAGTGCTCGACCTCACTGAACCTAAACCATGAAATGACTCCCAACGTTTGGGGAACAGCCTACCAGTGCATCGGAATTTGCCCAACCATTAGTCACCGGTGATGGCAGTCATTTCCCGTTAAATTCTGGTATCATACCAGCGCTATCATATTATCATACCATCTAAATTGGTATTCGACCGCCAAGTCACCTTCCCATCAGAAAACTATTCGTGATAACAGTAGTCTCTCCCGCATCTGACTGACTCCTGCGGGTCTACGGAATACGGTGGGCTCACACAGGAGCTGCCGCCACCGTAGTTGAATTAGAGAATCCATGACGCCCCGTCACCCACCCAGTCTCGTACCCCATTTCCCTATCTATACTAGCGGGGACAGGAGGAGATAAAAAAGACAGAAGCACGAAAAACAAGCAATGCGACGATAGCCCCCCTTACACTCATGGGCAGACGTTATCCCGCCCTATCAAAAGGAGCCTTCGTGCCAGGGAAAGAAGTAAAACATTACAGTAAGGGCAATGAAGCTTTCTAAAAACGATATCAATCGGAGGCAATCAATCATCCAACGGAGAGTAGTCCTTGCGGGACCTGAAAATGGAGCCTCTCAGGTCCCGAACCCCATCCCCAACCCCGTCCTCACCCTTCCCCTCGCTCGCGTCGCTCTCTTTCTGTTTGGCTTTATCGTCTTCGACATCACCCCCGGCTTCTCCTGTGAGTGTCCGCTCTCTCGCTCTTCCCCTCTCCTTAAGTTCCCCAATCAAATCCTCACCATCTTGACTCTGGCTAACTCCCTTCCCCTCACCTCTACCAGATTCTACCGACGCTAGCTTTGATGTTTTGGAACTCGATGCGGAGGTAATACCCAGAGACTTCTTCATAACCTCTTTGGCTTCTCTAAACGCTTCCAATTCTGCACCGATACAGCAAACCAATAATTTCCATCCCCTATTCTCTGCTGACTCGAGCTTTTGCTCGAGTGCCTCAACTACACCTTCAAGCCCTTGCATGATATCCAGGTTTATATCTCCACCCCTCCTGCCGGATATTAGTAAACCCAATTTGTCCTCGAACGAATACACGAGAGAAAGTGTTTCGTCCCACAAAACCATCCCTTCAAGCAAAGCTTCGGCCTCAACCTTAGCCTGATCTTTCTTAGCCAGAAGGGCTTCTCTCTCGAGGGTCCACGATTCGATAGCCGTGGTGGGAGAAGGGAAGCGATGTGTTGCGAGGAAATTTGACGTTCTTTGCTTCACCGTCACCAGAGAGGACTGATAAGAGGAGGTCTTTGATGACACAGTGGACTCCAGCTCCTCAAGCTTGTATTTCAGGGCAGAATGGTGATCCTCGAGCTTTGAGAGCCGAATGCGAAGTCCTTGCATCTCACGCTAGCCGTAGTTAGCAATGTATAAGACTGCTAGGTTGGAGCTGTAAAGTACCTCAACTTCACTTTTCGCTTCCCTTAGAGCCTGGGCTTCTCTTCCTTCTTCACCGTCCTCAATCTTATGTATCTCCTTTTCCAGAAGCGACGCTTTGTCTCCCCAACTCCTCATAGCCTTCACCAATGTCTCCCTTTCTGCAACTTCCGATGCATACACCTTTTCCTCGGTACCCTTGATTTCCGCCAACTCACGCATGGTCAGCAGTACTCTCTTCCTCGCCTGGTGTAATGTAATCCTCTGTTCCCGGGGGACCTGATCCGCAGAATATAGGGGATTTCTAGGAGGCCTCTGGGATGTAGACAAGCTGCCTCCAGACATCAGCTCAGCAGACTGCACATCCAACAAGTGTTGCAGCTCCTCGGTCAGAATTTCAGTCTGTCTCTGTAGACTATGGAGCGGAGAATGTTGCGTAGCATAGGTGGATGAGCTTGGTGTATACGAGTAGCTTGTTATTACAGGTGGCGGGAGTTTAAAGCTACTGGACGGTGAAACGTTCTCAAGATCAGAGGAAACGGACGGGGAAGTAGCTCCATTATCACGATACTTGTTGACGCTTGGTTTGTCCGCGGAAAAGCTGTCGAAACGAGTTTTGGGACGGGATGGCGGCGATTTTCTTGTGCCGATCTTCGACATTCTGGCTGGCGAGGGTGACGGTGAGATCTGAAGGTAAGCTGGAGGGTAGAGGGATTCTGGGGAGGGGAACGAATGCTGCTCCATCCTGATAACCGTAGAAACTAGCAGAACAGGCGAGAAGTCGACCGTCCGATGGACCTTTGAGCTGGAAGAAGATAGTATGCCTTCAACCAGACGAGGGTAGTCAAGTAGAAGGCGGGTAATGTGGGAGGCACCGTATGCGCCCAACCGTTGGGAATGGTCTGGCTGCTATAGTAACATGCCGGGGCCCTGTCGCAGCATGAACACGAGGACTGCAGGGTCACCCGCCGCCAAGCCACCTCCTGCGATAACGGCGATAAGTCAGAACGCCTGACGCCAAAAGGCGATACCTTAGTCTGCCGCAGTCCATTCCTTTTCACAACTAGGTTTTCGGGCAGCGGTACGGATACTCCAATGGGTAGGACG